GAAAGCCTATTAGAGTTAATTGAAATCTAATTGAAATCCTTGTCCCGACAAAAAGTACGCGTTTGGGGGATATTGTAATTGTGGGGGTTATTGTAATTGTGTTCCAGGCCCGGGATTTTATAAATGTAGGGGCAGTTCTTAAGGTGAAGTCAACATTACGTGAGATCAAAAATGTTCTGTTTTGAAAACGAGGGAATCTATAAAGACATGTGTCACATGGTGACATAGCAGGTATGCAAGGGTGTACTATGTGATTCGTGTGAAGCTCGATCGGCATGAAGTCTTATGCTCGGATGTATGCTCATTGCCAAATAATTGGCGGGCGAAACACCATGAGTTTGGAAAGAATACTTTCTGCCTGCAGCCTCTTTTGTCCTTTACAAGCATTAGAGGGCTAAATGGAGAACGCGATGTTCGATGTGCTGAGTGATTTTTTTGCATGTCAGGTTGTCCATGCGGTCGAGTGTTGACTTCTGTACTCACTTTAAAGTGATGCAGAAGACGAGTGAGCGTCTGCTTTCCCATCTGCCATCGGGAACTTCGGGAGACGTCTACTTAGAACTGGTCCGGAACAAGTCTTGTGCGCCTGTGCCACGCATATAGCCTCCCGACGCATTTGCCCTTGAGAAAGAAATATGGTCGCACATCCTTGTGATGATACATGTTACTCAAATGCTTACTTCATGCAGACATGTCGTTAGTGATCTTTACATGTTTGAGGGCTTATCTGGAGGTATCTTATGACGTGCATGTCAGTTGAATGAGCTTTGAGCGCTCCATCACAAAGCTTTAACTACAGAACTCTTTCAATGAAGTTGAGCCCTACAGTAGTTAAAGCTCTTCGTGATGCGTTTGTTGTTCAGATGTCTCATACTAACTGGAGCGAACTTGTGCGAATTTTGTGACTGTCAAAGCAAAAAACATCAGCAACTTCCACAACTCAGCTGGTCCATTGCACGGAAGAAGTTGGCAAAAGAAACGATTCCTCGGCATGCTCCAGTGCGTCGCGATTGCTGCCATGGTTTGGCCATAGTCTTGCCTATGAAGTGGCTAGAGCAGCGAACAAAACCTTCCTGTTGTTTGTGCAATGGGAACTGTTTGCTCAGAAGTTTTTCTGAACACAGATCTCTGAAAGACCGGGAAGGGGGCGAGGCCTGCCGCTTGTATTCCTTGCTGGTTTTGTAGGAGAACTTGGTGCAGCAGAGTTCGCTTACAGCATGTACTAGAACCCCAGAGTCCGATTTGATCGCCTCTCCCATACCCTTGGCCGACAGTGGCGTCCACTAGAACTCAAGCAGTAGAAGCTTCAAAACAACAACAGCACACACTCGCCTGCTTTTTCATTTTTCCCTTGCCTGCCAAGCTCCACGCTTGCCCAACGCAGGTTCTGCTGTCTTCTTATTTGGGGTCAGATGTGTGACAGCTCAGCTTAACGAAATGGCACGTGCAAGAGCGAAACTGCAGTACCGTAAATCACAACTTTGTGTAAACGTTGTGTTGGCGGTTTCCGGGCCAGTCTTAGCATCATCCTTTAGCCTTGCGATGGGCAGCTCTGCTGCCAAGCAAGCCTCCGAGGTGCTTCTTGGGTGCTTTCGGGAAAGGAGACTCCATCTTTTTGTATGGCAGGAGTTGTGCGCCGCAGTGCAGCGCGGTGACCTTACAGCCTGCCAGCGCCTTGCTGAGGGCTTCAGGGAGCCGGGATCCGCCTCGACAATCCTCGATGCCCTCACTTCCGGCGGTCTGGCTGCATTGCATGTGGCTGCAGCGAGCAGCCGAGTGGACATTGTGTGCTTCTTGTTGGATCTGAACGCGGATGCGATGGTGCGGGACTCGAAGCAGCGCACGCCCCTACACTGTGCTTCACGTGCCATCAGCCCTCCAAATTGCACTGCCTGCGTGCAAGTGCTGCTTCGTCACCGCGCCGATCCTTTCAGTGCCACAGAGCTTGGGACCGTCACCTTGGGCTTTGCAAGTTTGAAGAAGCTAGAGAGGTACGGGTGAGACTGCTTTGGTGCCTGTAGCTGTAGCCAACTCTCCAGGAGCACGGCTCTTGACTTGGCACGAGGGGCTCGCTGCGCTGGCTGCGTTCGAGCGTTGGAAGGCGCTGCCGTGCTGTGGCAGGGTTACGTGGATGCTTACCAACCGAAGCTGTTGGTCATCCCTACTTGGGCTACGAAGTGGCTCGTGGCAGCTTGGAATCCCATTAATCATAGAAGTTGGGTGATGCACTGCAGGACGTTGAGTCAATGAGCATTGCTATTGGAAAATGATCAGCCCAGGTACTACGTGATCGCAGACACAACACTGGCCCCAGCTTTATTGCAAGGGGCAGCGTTCACAACGCCTTCAAACAAGCTCAAACCCTGGTACGAGACCACCTGTCTGGACCTTCCTTCTCGCATTCATGTCCACAGTGCAGCAAGTCCAATGCGGTTCCTGACTTTGTGGACAGCTTTCAGTGCCGCTTGCCTTGGGTGGACAGAGTTTGTGGCCCTGTGTATGACCTGCTTTACTGGTCCTCAGGTCGCCACTGTGGGACGATGTTGTGTGTACCAACCAGCTTGCAGTTGGCACTCTACGATTGCCACCAGGCAGCCCGGAGCCAGAGCTTCGCACGACAGAGTGGCTTGTCCTGTCAGTGCCAGGATGTGCCAGATGCGCGGCCGGTGGCGGTGCTGTCCTTGCCCCAGGACCCGCGCTGCATCCGCATCAAGCCGCTGGACAACTCCGGGGCACAAGGCATGCTTCAGAGAAATTGGGGGAGCAAGGTGCAGAGCTTGATAGAGCCTGCACAACTGTGAGGAAGTTGGTTCCGTGGAGCACTAGGAGGCCTGCTGCATCCTGCTGCAAGTCGCTGCAAGCACGATGACACGATGCTATGAAGGCTCGTAAGTCGTACGTGCTTGCCTAGGACTGGGCCTTGCTTCCTCCCGTCCGTTTGGCCTTTCTGTGTCAGCACAGGCCTCGCGCCTCGAGGTTTGATGAGAGGTTTGATTCATTCGTGTGGATCGTACAGGACCTGGAGCGGGGAGGCGAGGTTGGCTTGGCCGTGAGGCGAGCTGCTGAGCTTTTTCCATCTATTTGAGATGCCCAGATGACTTTGAGGTTTTCGACGGCAGAGGAATGTGCACAGGTAAGGCACGCGTTGCTGAATCCACTGCTCAGCACCAGGCCCAGACGCAGTGATCCCCGCGCGGTCTCCGCATGGGCTTGCTCATTACCCTGCCAGGTCGCTGGTGCCGAAGGATGCCTATGACGCTCTCCTCGCATTGCCGGTTGCAGCTGAAGAGGACTGAGGGCATCATGGTCAACCACAGTCGCCATAGTCCCAAAATGTCCCAAAAGCTTTACGCTGATGTGGATCGTCATCCAGGAGCTTCCACTTCCATCTGCGCCGCCAGCTGAAGTGTTGGAACCTGCTGTCGTGGCTCGGCTGATGAGTTCCAATGCAATGGTCCAATACCGCGTCTATCGCGTCTGGAGTCTGGAGGTGCCTGCGCCACAGGCCGCACAGCAAGCAGTGCAGCATTTGGAACAGGGTCAGGTGCGCTTCCCCAAAAACTCGGCCCAGCAAGGCATCTCCCTGTAAAAGATACAAAGTTGTGCTAAAGTTGAAATGGGAAGCGAAACCGATGCACAGGAGCACGGCGCGGAGGAGGGCACCTGCGTTGCCACTTTGCTCAAAGCAGAGAGACCTTGCAAAGCGCGCATTTTTTCCTCCAGAATCCACTCCTCTCGAGGTGTGTTTGGAGCGGCCGGCAACGATGGCAATTCTGCCCTGCCGCGTGCTCGGCCATGTCTCAAGTCGGGTTGGGCGGTGGGTCTGGCTACGCCAAGGCGGTCACCTTTGTCTATGTCAGCAATGCAATGTGTAGCTGGGCCAGATGGCAACGCTGGTGGAATCTCTGTTCCAGCGGGTGAGGATGATGATAGCTTTCAGCACTGGTTTGTGTTGGTGTGTGCATGGACATGTAGCGCACGCTCCACGACTAGCTCAGGCATCCGCTGTGCCCAGTGTGCAGGTGCGAGGCATCCTCCACGGTGCGCATTTACCAGTCTGCTGCAGGAGCTTAGATGGTCCCGGGCAAAGTGGCAGTGTCACGGTCAGGCACAGCAAAAAGACTGTAAAAACATGCAGTCCCGCTGCTCTACAGGGGTGGAGGATCTTGTACAGCTCACCAAGAGCCCGGGCAAAAGCGTCATGGCATGGCCTTCAGCTTGAATCTTGCTTGGCCAGCTGAGCATCTCTTCTTGTCTTCCTGTATCGGCCCCAGGCCGATCAACATGAAATCTCAAGCATGACTTTCCTCCAATCATATCAGAGCTGCAGAACTTTGCCACGTTCTGCCCTGCTTGTGGATAGTTATGGCTCTGATGACCCGACGTTGCCAACACAATTGACTGTTAACTTGGTCAAGCTGCGTGACAGGACCAAACTAAACATACAAGAGAAGTACACTGAACTCTGTGCATTCACATGGCGAATAGGTTGGTCATTCATTTGATAATCATGCTAGCTTGTCGGAAGCACTGAAGCGATACACAACAAGTCTTGTAAGGGAGCACGCAACTGCACCCAAAATGGTTCAGCCGTTATTTCCGCTGCCGCTGCCCCCTCAGAACCTGCGCATAGACGTGCATCTTTTGTGATCGCGTGGATTTGACTTCTGCTTTGTCCGCTCTGCAGGAAGGGTTTGGCTCGAGGTACTCGAGTCACCTTCCATGACAGTGCATGGTCGCCTGCTTGCCACAGAGAGCCTGCGCAAACCGCTCATGGATGATCGTAACAGCACCGGAGCACCTGGTCCTCCAAGCATGGAGGCTAAGGGATTGATTGCATGCCCTAGCGCCTTGGGGGAGACCTGTCATGCCTGTCAGAGCAGGTAGATTATCAATCATCTTCGGTGACCTCCGAAGGCAGCGTTCAGATCATTCACAGGCACGTCTTGGGCGAAAGATTTGATTCGGCAGGCGCGAAGAGGTCTGGCTCGACCTCAATCCTCCAGGGCTGCCTGCTTGTTTCGGTGGTCTTGTTCGGGTGCGCCAACAACATTGCCAAACAGATTGCAGCACAGCCCTTGAAACGTACCTTGGAGTGCAAGGAGTCCGGTAGGTAACTGAAAAGGTGAAGCAGCTGAACCCATGTGCATCCGGGTACTGTGCAGTGCTGCGTGTGAGAGACGCATGTCAGGATATACTTACATGCTTGGGCTTTCCACGGCCGTGGCGTACGTGCCGCTATATTGGTGCCCTGGATGCCCTTGTTGAAATGCTTTGACATGTCAAACCACTTCATCTTTGGAGGTGCATCCTCGGAGGTCTTCTGTTGCTCGGGGTCGTGCCGCGATCCCAGCTCCGCTTTGTGTGGCGGCCCAACCACGGCCTCCCTGCCTTGGCTTTCTTCGCCGTCTCAGCGCTGGGCCCGGAAGCCCAGACCAGGCCTCACCGCCTCTGCAGAGAACTTGTTTTCTTTTTCAAGCTTCTCAAGGCGACTCGTTGGGAGACACCATCGGAGCCATCTGCACTCCCCATGTTAGCGGCCCACTGCACAGCCTACTTTCCAACTGTACGTCGGGGCCTCGAGTGCACTCAGCTGCGCGTGGCGTTCACACACTTGATGGGACGTCTAAGTGGCCAAGACGCATTCCCTAACAGGTAGGCGGTCGGCTTCTTTAAGGTACGGCTACGGGCAGCAGCTGTTCAAACCGGATATGGTCGGAGCCAATTACAGAATTAATGAGTTCAGAGTGAGCCCAGGGGTGCATTAGCTTCGCAGTACTGGTAGGCAGAAGCACCGCTTCTGTTGTTCTACTGAGCAATGCCAAGCTAGCTTGAGCAAGTTGTGCATCCACAAGTTCCAATCGCTTTGTGCAGAAGACATGGACCTCATCCATCCTGGAAAATCTTGAATGCTTGGAACCTCGAAGCCTGAGTTCCATTTGCTCAACTTTGCAGGCAGTAGAGCGGCACGGGACTCAAGATGCTTTACTCACTGACTCTCTTCTGCGCCAGAGGCCCATTTTCATTGCCATTTTGTCGATGCCGGCAGCTTTGGCAGTTTTGGAATGCTTCAGGAAAGGGCAGCATTGCGGCTTTTCAGCGAGGTGCATCCTCCAAGAGCGGTACTCCTTCGCGCAATCTCTGGCGCTGCTTGGGGCACTTGTGCCCTGTTCTTCGAAACAACCTTAGTGCCCTGTTGAAAGCTGCCTGGGAGACATGCCAGGTCTTCTTGGCCGTTGCGCGCCTCCCAGCCATCAGCCGTCTCACGCACGGCCTCTGCATTTTGCTCCGGAACGGAGGTCACAGGGCTGCTGCCTTCCTTAGAGGGTTTGAGCGTGAGCACGGAACCCGTCTTTGCAGTGATCCTGGGAGGCCGGGTAATGAATGCGCATGTCCTTGTGCGATTTCTGCGCTTTCAACCTGCTTCATGTCATGAGGTAGCTGCATCTTCAACGCTGCTCCTTGGACGTAGAGTTTTAATAGGGCCGGGCAGGCCAGAGATGCCGGGCCGCCTGTATGCAGGTAGCCTTTGTGCTCAAGGAGCTGGTTTTCAAACGCTACAAGGTTCACGAAGTTCACGATTCATGTTGGATGTTTCACGATGTTATATGATGTTCCATGCTTGATCCTTGATCCTGTCAGTGCACTTGCTGTCCACCAGTTATCCTGTGCAGACATGGCAAGCCGCCGGGCGGCATGAAGCTGATGGAGGTGGACTGAACATCTTTGTCATGAATGCGCACCTGGCACTTTTTCAGTCTCTGGGCAGCATTTGCAGCAAACGAGCCGCAAAAAGCTGGACGAAATCTGCAGGCTTCCTCTCACGATCATGTTGATCCCGCTGAATGAACTGCTGAAGCAGACCAATGGCGAAGGCTCCCAGCCACGGCCCATCCTGAATCAACCAGACAAAGTTTCAAAAAAATCTCTGTTTCTTTTGCATTTTTTTCTGTTTCCTGCGTTTCTGCTTATTGCTTTTTCCTTTGTGCTTCTTTGTTTCTGTTTTTCGCTTCTGGCTTGTTGCTTTCTGCTTTTGTTTTCTGCTTGTTGCTTTCTGCCGGTTGCTTCTTGTTTCTTGCTTTCTACTGTTTGTTTTCTCTTTCTTGCTTCTTACTTTTTGCTGTCAGCTTGTCGCTTCCTGTGTCTTGCAGCCTGCGATCTCCTGAGTGCTCATTGCTCTCTAAGTTTTGCGTCCTGTTTCTCGTTGACTGCACTCAGCATTCCGATCACTGCTATCTGCGATGGTTGTGTTTTGTTTCTTGTTTCTTCTTTTCTGCTTAGTATCTGCCGTATCCATCATGTGTCATAATGCTTCATTATCTTCAGCATTTTCATAAATCATCTTTCAGCAGTTGCCGCATGTTTCATCATTGATTGCACACTGGTGTTATCAGACTTCATCAATTTTCATAATATTTCATCATTTGCATAATGTTCGTTCATTATGGCTCATCGTTGTTGTTCATCATTCTTCATCATATTTCATGTTTCATCGTTTCCACGATTTGTTTAATCGCTTTCATCATTTGTCAGCAAGAAAATCAAGCTCTTGCCTGAGACTTTCGAGAAAGAAAAGAGGAACACAAACATACAGAAACATAACAATAACACTAACACCAACCTATTTTTTGCGTCCATGGGCCAGGCATCGGCGCCTACACCCGAGAGGCTATGGACTGCCTTTTCAGCGGACGAGCAGACAGCTGCGGCGAAGATTCCAATCACGGAGAGTTGGCTGGCCGCTGCCCGGAGCCCAAAAGAGCACATTCCTGCGGCAAAAGAAAGATGAGCTACAGGCCAAATGTGTGATGGAGGTGTTGCTATCTACGTGGTTTTCAACGTGCTTTGGAACATGGCTGTGCTGCTCTCCGTGAAGCATTCGGGGGCCCTCGCCACGTTCATTGCCCTGAAGGCGATTTTCCCGGTGGCTTGGCATTTTACTGCATGCTGGAAACTCATAGGCGCGAGGTGACGGAAGAACGGAAAAGGTGCAGACTCCCGAAAGGGCATGGCAAAACACCTGAGTGGCGAGGTTTCCGCCGTCCTGTTCGCCTACGTGGACTGGCCGCTGCTGGGCCCCACTCACCTATCCTGGCTAGTTTGGCTGTCCATCGCCTTGCTCCTTCCCTCCATTGCCGCCTACCAGTACACCTCCCAGTCGCAGGCACAGGGAGATGCGGAAGCACCAGAGAAATACATCAGTAGTTGCCCTTGCTCTCTAGACCTCCAGGCGCGTCGTGCAATGGAGGATCCGTCGCTGGCCAGCTGCTGCTGGCCTCTGTGCACATCCGGGCGAGGCACAATGTAGTGATTGGATGCAACGCGGACGCCAGGTTCTTCGTGTTGCGTTGTCGTCATTTTGTTCACTTATCTTGTTCTCTCATCAGCTGTGGGAACATGGGGATAGGATGTAGCAAGATGAAAGCTCCATGCAGCCTTTAAGCTTATTTCCTGCGATTCCTCATCCAGGATTTTATTTTCGTGTCCCTGTGGCTTTCTGCAGGATGTCATTTCGTGTATGGTGTTGGCTCCCGCGGAAAGGTGAACTCAAAAACCTTCTGTCATTAGATGATCAGTTGGGGGATTAAGCCGCCAGGATCTTATTTCGGGGAACTGGGCAGCCTCCCACTGTGATAGTGCGAGGCAGTTTCGACGACAGTCGAAAATGTCTGAGCCTCCCTATCTAGGAGGCGAGGGTTTCGACGACAAAGACGAAGAAGTCTGAGCCTCCCACTATGATAGTGGGAGGCATGGGCTGGCTACGACGGCGCCTGAGGAGGCATTTCGGAATTTGTGTTGGGCATGTGGATAGCTTTGCAGCCCAGGCCCAAAATTATATTTCAAGTCTCCGGTTCACGTCAAAGCCCCACGAACGCTCAACTTCAGTCATTCCTCAGGCCCTAACCCCTTTGATATGTATTCTCGATTGCTCCCCATGCCCCCAGGAATTTTTCCAGATAAGATCCTGAGGATAACGTCCCCCCGTGTATCTCCAACTCCTATTAGGAGGGGAGCAAGCAGAGCCTAAGACTATTTATTTCACCATTCGTAATTGAATGAACACAGCCAAATACGTCAGTCAAAGAACGGAAGAAACGTTCCTTGTGTTTCTTCCCTTCCCTCGGGTTCAGGTAGAGGCAGCCAGCCAGCAAGCAAGCAAAACGACAAGTAAGCATTGATAGAGGGTTGTCAAGACTGGGGTCTTTTCGGGCTTGTTAACCGAAAAAAGTAGTGGCCGTACGATAACGGGTGGCCACAAATTTGTGACAACCCCTTATACAGTACGGTACCCCGTTTGCCTACATGTTTTTTGCCGCTAAAACATGGCGGGAAATGCTGAGCTGTCACGTTTAACCACCAAACAACAGTATTTCGAGTGTCTTCCAGAACTTTGCGGAAAATACGGGGAAACCGTTGCACCATCCCAAGCGCGGTATGTGCTGTCCCAATAATAAAGCGAATCAAGCCTCTGTTCGGAGGGTCTTCAGAGCCTGGGCTCCCAAGACTCCCAACACATTGGTTTTAATGGTTTGACCTCATGAAACCAATACGAAAACGCCAAAATGCTATGCTGTCCTAATAGATCCCATTCGTCCCATGTTTGGAGGTCTTCAGGGTCCACATTTTGGACTGGGATTCCTGGTTTTTGAGCTGGTTCTGGTCCATCTGACCCCGTTATTTGCAACGGATAGCGGAATCCTCGAACTCTGTAATCCCTTAGTAAAGGATACCGGAACACTCAAATCCTGGAGTCCTGGTGGTGGAGCAAGCCCCCTCCACATTCTGGAATCCTCGAATCCCACATTCCTGGTTTGGAAAGGTTCCGCTCTCTGGAATCCTGGATTCCTGCTTTTGGAGTTGGTTCCGCTCCATACAAATTCCTGATGTCCACTTGCTGAATAGTAGTCCACCGCCACTATTCGAAGCTAGGAAGCAGGTTCAAGAGCAGAAAACGTAGGCAAATGGGGAAGGGGTATACGGTGCAGTGAGACCCAACCCCCCGCCATGCACTTGAAAACACCAGTTTCAAGCAGTTTTTGTGTAATGAGTATGAAGCATGTTAGCGTGCGAATATTCAATACAGCTTATCAGCTAAAGGTTCAGCTGAAGTCCTTCCTGGGAAACCTTGCACGAATCTTCTAGGTCCAGTAAAAGAATCCTTTAGCAAGCTTCATCAAAACGAATGCTGAAATCCTGGAGTCTGGGATGTCAAGATGTTTTTCGTTTTATGTGATTCTGGTCCATGACCCATATGAATCTGCGTTTAGATTGAACGATTAAGAGTGCATATTGAAATCCTGGAATCCTGCATTTTAAATTCCTCGAGCTTTCGATTTGGCTTCAGTCCATATGAACCCCTCAGAAACTGCAAGCACAACCACACTGGAGTCCTGGTCCCTAAAAAACGCATACAGAAATGCTGGAATCCTGGTCCCAGTTTTTGATCTGGCTTCAGTCCGTATATACAACGACATTAGAAGGATCCTGCTATTTTCTTTCACAAAGTTCTCGCTTTTGATAACTGAACTGGAGGAGTCCTTTTCCATACAATCTGTTTCATGTCAAGAAAAAAGATTGCTTTGTTGTCCCAAACATGCGGCATGGCGACTTTGACAGACACGATTTATAAACCTCCGGATGAAATGCTTGCATAGACACCTGGCTTTGTTCAGGCCGCCAGCGCCTTCTTGATGAGCTCCAGGGGGCTTAAGAGCATGCAAGGATGCCATTTCAAATTCGTGAGCAGGCCTTGGCACAGTGAAAGACTTGCTAGGTTCTCGCGTTTCTTGGGGGTCAAGAGCGTTGAGATTGGGAGCTAAAGGCGCCCAGTATTGCCCTTGTAAAGGCGAGGGCTTGTCTCAATGATGGCCGCCCAAACGCCAAAAGCTGCGCGCATCAGCCAGTTCTGCCTTTGGATGCGGGTCCAGAGGTCACAATGGCCCAGGGATGTACAGGGACACTTGGTCCGGAGCTCGCTCTCTGTTGGAGGGCGAAAACAAGGTGACCAGCTGACAGCTGCAGACACTATTCTTGCCTTAATGGTCCAACACTTTTAAACGTTGAGGTCATGGCTTCAGCCTTCTTCTCCCTCATCGACTCCATCGGGGAGACGTTTGAGGGTGTCGTGGAGAATGCCCCGCCCCCACCACAAGAGATGCAGAGCAGACAAAGACATGTGTGTCCTTGAAGGTGGAGAATGTCGTCGGGTCTGTGGAGAAGGAGGAGCCCCGGTCGAGGGCAACGTGTGCAATTTGTGCAGAAAACATAATCTGTTGGCAGGTGGAGGGGGCAGTGCAGCAGATGGATGCGGGAGTGGATCTCGATGACGTCCTTGAGGACCGAGAGGGCTGCGAGGGCACACCCGTACTCCCGAGTCGCCCGAACTTCTCCATGCCCCTCACAGCTATGGCAACCCCAACACCTATAAGTTCTGACAGCCACTGCTACTGCAGCTCAGCTTCGCTTCGTGCTTTTCACAAATAATCTTGCCTCGCAGCTTGCGTCTCGCAGCCATTTGTTCTCAAGCATTCCCCTGTTGATGCAACATACCTGGCCATCCTCAGGCTTGTTTGCAGAATTGTGGAATGCTAAGAATCAATGGCAGTTGCATGCAATTGCAGCTTCCTAGTGAAACTGTCCAAAAAAACCCTGCCACGAAGATCGAGTTCGACTGCCGACCCG